AATAGGTATTATTTCTTCTTTGAATGTTTGGTAGAATTCCCCAGGAAATCCATCAGGCCCTGGACTCTTGTTTTTTGGGAGGTTTTTGATCACTGCTTCAATCTCGTTACTGGGTATTGGCCTATTCAGGTTGTCAATTTCTTCCTGTTTCAGTCTTGGTAGCTTATAGGTTTCAGGAAGGCATCCATTTCTTCTCAGTTGCTTAATTTATTGGCATATAGTTGTTCATAATAATTTCTACTAACTGTTTCTATTTCCTTGGTGTTAGTCTTGATCTCTCCCCTTTCATTCATAATTTTATTAATTTGGGTCCTTTCTCTTTTCTTTTGGATAAGTCTGGCCAGTGTTTTATCGATCCTATTAATTCTTTCTAAGAACCAGTGTCTAGTTTCTTTGATCTGATCTACTGTGTTTCTGGTTTCTAATTCATTGATCTCTGCTCTAATCTTAATTATTTCTCTTCAAATGTGTGGATTAGGCATCGTTTGTTGCTTTTTATCTAGTTCTTTAAAGTGTAAAGTTGGTGAATTTGGGATTTTTCTTTTTTTTTGAGTGAGGCTTGGATGGTTATGTATTTCCCCTTCAGACCGCCTTTATAGTGTCCCATAGGTTTTGGATTGACATGATTTCATTCTCATTGGTTTCCATGAATTGTTTAAGTTCTTCTTTGATTTCCTGGTTAACCCAAACATTCTTAAGCAGAGTGGTCTTTAGTTTCCAAGTGTTTGAATTTCTGCCAAATTTTTTCTTGTGATTGAGTTCTAGTTTTAAAGCATTATCATCTGAGAAGATGCAGGGAATAATCTCAGTCTTTTGGTATTGGTTGAGACCTGATTTGTGACCCAGTATGTGGTCTATTCTGGAGAAAGTTCTGTGTGTGCTTGAGAAGAATGAGTATTCTGTTGTTTTAGGGTGGAATGTTCTGTATATCTCTATGAGGTCTATCTGGTCCAGTGTGTCATTCAAAGCTCTTGTTTCTTTGTTGGTGTTCTGCTTAGATGATCTGTCTATTGCTGAGAGTGGAGTATTGAGGTCTCCTACAATTAACGTATTATCAATATGACTCTTTATTTTGGTTAACAGCTGGCTTATGTAGATGGCTGCTCCCATGTTGGGGATATTTACAATTGTTAGATCTTCTTGTTGTATAGTCCCTTTAAGAATGATATAGTGTCCTTTGTGTTCCTAACTACAGACTTTAGCTTAAAATCTAATTTGTCTGATATGAGAATTGCTACCCCAACTTTCTTTTGAGGTCAGCTGGCATGGAAGATGGATCGCCATCTCTTCACTTTCAGTCTGGATGTATCTTTAGGTTGAAAATGAGTGTCTTGTAGACAGCATATGGATGGGTCCTGTCTTTGTATCTAATCTGCAACCCTGTGCCATTTTATGGGAGCATTTAGGCCGTTCACGTTGAGAGTGTCTATTGAAAGATATGAATTTATTGTCATCATGTTGCCTTTGAAGTCCTTGTTTCTATAGATTGTCTCTGTAAATTTCTGTTGTATATCACTCTTGGGGTCTTTCTCTTTTTATAGAACCCCCCTTGATATTTCTTCCAGGGCCAGCTTAGTGGTCACATATCCTTTCAGTTTCTGCCAGTCCTGGAAGCTCTGCATCTCTCCATCCATTCT